AGACGCTAATCACAGACACGTGAGCACACTTCATAAAGGCAAAGTCAGTCAGCAGCCCTCATGGCAGGGGTAGGGAGTGGGGTGACCATGCTAATGCGGCATGAAGTGTCACGAATTCATCAAAACATATTGCCAGCTACCRATGCACCCAAAACAAGATCAAATTAGGGTCGCAGCGTAAATGATACAGTTGCAGTCAAACCACCCTCAGGTGGTTCCAGTTACGTCTAACAGATTGCTTACCCCTCTGTATTTATGCGCTCAAAATTAATTGGCAATACAGAAAAAGACACAAACAGGGGGAGTTAATCTGTTAGAAATGGGCGTTGAACGCAAAAATTCCATGGTATTTAGGCTGCATAGCATATCTTTAATATAAAAAATTATTTGACTAGAAAGTACCCTATATATAAGGTTGACAAATGTGAAGATATATATGAAGTATATATACAATTTTCATTCCGTGAATTTGGCTTTTAAGCCAAAGTCTAGTTTTAGCCCTACTATAATAATAATAATTATTATTGTTATAGTGCAATTTTCTACCAACCAACATACAGGGTATTATAACTATGCATAATCTCGTCCTTGACTCTTACACTTGTTTTTGCCACACGAGGGTTCTTACAACAAATACCATTGCATCGCATTAATTTATTATTAATAATTTTACGCTTTGTTTATGTAGTCCAATTTTTTATTGTCTAATTGTTTTTGGGTCTCTCTGTCTTCCATCTAGTGTGACTTCAATGTGGCATCAACATGTGCCACAATAGCAGCTGCAACAGTTCGCACGCACATTGGGCTTCAAATAATTTTGCAGTGGAAAGAGTGGCTCTTAGGGGGATTATCAGGTGGTTGTTGCTACTCATTTTTTACGTAATCCACACAAGTTGTACAAGTAATCAATTTGATTTGCTATAATCTGAACGAACCAACGATATCACAATTAAAATCAGCCTGCACAATGAACAAAAGCTTCTTGTTTATTAAAGATTAATTTAAAAAAATAAAAATTACTCGTATTCACGCCAATACTCAAAATGGGGAAAATGTGCATTGCAAAATCTCTGAATTATTCAATAGGAAACATTTGTTATCAAGAAAAGTCTCTTACTACCAAAATTATAAACAACATAGTTGAATAGCCATAGCTGCTAGCCTCTGTTAAAAATAAATTTGTCACATAAGCTTTATATGACTGTTCAAACAATTGTTAAAAGAAAATACAGCAWAATAAAATAAAAATAAATAAATAAATAATTTTAAATTCATATTTTCTTAGCTTACCAGTTTTCATAGTTAGGTAAAATCATTTGAATGTTTATTTAGTTAGGAAATGTTTTGATTGATTTATTGTAAGATTATCGAGAAGTAAGTATGCACATAATATTCCTTATTTCCCTTTAATCCTCCCATTAGTCGAGTCGAGTCGGACTGATGGAAACCCTTGAAACAAATAGTACATTTTGGTCGGGAGTATTTGAATATTTGGAATATATTTGTCTTTCACTTTAAGACCCTTAATAGTTTATTAGTAATATAAATTTGAGCCGCACTTTAATAAGTTTTGTAGCCCACTGAAAAGGAAATATTTCTCAGTTTTTGAGTCTGTTCATGGCTTGAAGAATGTGCGGCTCATAAAGAAAATATACACATATGAAAAGGAACAGCTGTTCGGTAAATAAATTAGAATTTCGTTCACTAATATATATTAACTTATATCACTATAATAATGAACTTAATCACAAACACAATCAAAAATTTGCACATCTATCACATTTATATATATTATCTTAAGTCTCTACACATGGCATAGTAACAGAGAACTTTATATAATATTGTTATACTCCTCTTTAGATTTCATCCTACGTCAAGCTGTGATTGTAAGGCGAGGCAAAGTCACGCTGATAGGCCGCCGGATGCAAATGGGGATGGGGATGCATTGGAGGACCTGGTGGCACACTCCCTGAATGATGATGTCCATTCATACCGCCGTACATGTCCGAGCGGGTTTTGTGGCTATTAGAGGGTGTGCCGTTCAACAACTCCGCCATGAAGCCAATGTAGGTGATGGCCAGCCGCAGGGTCTCAATGCGTGACAGCCGTTTCTCGTAGGCAAAKGTGGGCACTTTCCGTCGCAACTTGTCAAAGGCTTCGTTTAGGTTGAACATGCGACGGCGTTCACGAATATTCGCAGCCCGCCTCTGGGCCATGGAAGCTACGCGGCGTCGCGTTTTCTTCGAACTGGAGGAGGTGGAGCCGTGCGAGCGGCCATTGGTTGTTGGACGCTGATTGACGAGTGGAGTCACCTGAGATCTTTGCCAGAGTGCTATTTGTGAAGAAATGTTAAAACAGAAATAAATATAAATATACTTAAATTAAAGATTGAGCAATTGAGTAACTTACATAAATCGGAGCAGGGGAAACCTGCAATGAGATCTTGGTAGGGAACTATGGGCGGCGGCGGCGGTGGCGCCTCCTGACCCCACAGTGGCTGAAAGGGTACCTCTGGCATATAGGTAGGTTGGTCACTCGGATGCTGCATATCGACTGTATCGACTGTAGACCTTGGATCTCTACTGTTCTGCTTGGAAGCCCGAATCGGATTAAATTCTGATTGTGTTGACTGCTCTGAAATCAGATCTACATAGTTGGACTTATTGGATTTCTGCCTACCCTTATGGGGTGCGGCATCTGCGACGCGCAGTTGAGACGGCCATTTTGAATGGCGTTCTGATTGGCTATCAGTGAATTGGGGTTGAGAACTGTGCTAAGCAACCAAAATATTTGTAAAAACATTAGAAATTTGCATATTTTACAGGTATTTTCGTAATGCGAGCTGATGTAGAAAAAATAAATAATAAATAAGAGATTGTATAAATTATTGTTTTTTTCTTCCACTAAATATATTTTTGCAATTCGTTAATTTCATAAATTATGGCAAAATATGTTGATGGTTTGTGTATTCGCTTTAATTAAAAATGAAACGTAGATGGCGCTAAATCTTGTATATTAGGATTGATTACCGAAAATGCATATTTATAACTTATAATTATTTTAATTTTGTAATTCAGGACTGGTTTAAATGATTCGAATTCAATTTCTTAAAGTCGTATTTATTAACAGCCAGCTACTCAAGATTGAAAAGATATAATGTAAATACATACAGGAACTAAAAATCGAGCTTAATTCAATTATAATAATGAAAATTAGTTAAACATTTGTATTACCTTAAACTACTCCGCAACATGAAAAGTAATCAGGAAGAGATTAAGTGAACCGTTCAATCATATCTTCTTTTTATATTGCTTCACTCAATCAGTCCGATTTCAAAATTATCCGTTGGCATGTTACGTCTGCCTATTCTAATGGTCCACTGCAAACGCACCTGTAATACCGTGAAAATGAACTCGACAACATATCAGATGCCGCACAGTCAAATGAACTCCCCACCTATATTGGTGTTACATGGACTGAACCTCTCGGGATCCAATTGGCGTCGTTCGGCTCGGCACATGATGAAGCAGGGCTCGCGCTGGCTCATAGTCGTGGATGCTCGTAATCATGGCGAGAGTCCTCATTGCGAGAGCCATACGCCCGCCGACATGGCTGCGGATGTGGCGGCCTTGATAGAGGAGAGAATGTTGAAGCGGATTGTTGCCTTGGGTCATGGCATGGGCGGGCGGGCGCTGATGACGCTGGCCCTGACCAGGCCAGATCTCGTGGAACGTATCATCGTGGTGGACATAACTCCAGGACCGCTGCCCCCGGAAGTCATCAATGCAGCCAGGCTCTTCAAGTTGATGGTGGATGTGCTGCCCAAAATACCAAAAGATCTTTCCCTGCAAGAGGGCCGCACATTCATAATGCCTGAGCTCAGGAAACTGATTAAAAACGAAACTGATCTGACGTTGATTGTTGCGAATTTGCAGAAGGATGACAATGGCTGCTTCGCCTGGAGTGTTAACGCGAAGGCCATCTTCGATGGGTGGAGTCAATTAATGATCAGATACAAGCAGTCCTTAAAGGGACTGCCGCCATACCAGGGTGAAACACTGCTAATTGCGGGACGAAAGACTAAGTTCGTAACGCCAACGAATGTCAAGATAATGAAGAAATTCTTTCCCAAGTTGCATGTCGAGTATTTGAATGCTCACCACAAAGTTCACGTGGATCAGCCCCAGAAGTTTGTTCAGTTGGTTGTTGACTTTACGAAAACCTGCACAGGGTGTAAAATGTTGTAATCCCTTTGAAACTATAGAGGTCGATGGCTGGTATGAATTGACCAATTCCTCGGTAGGATTTGGCCTTCAACTGAGATTTTCGTACAAGATTTCCAACTTCTACGCAGATTTACTTTCTCTTAGCATCTATGATACATGATACACCCATAATTGTGTTCAGAGTAATTCAAACAATGTAGAAGAATCCAGGAGGGTAAACAAAATATAATATAACGGTTGTTAGACTTACGCGGTTTTTATATACCCTGAGCCCAATAAAGAGTATAATGGTTTTGTTAAAATGTATGTAACAGGCAGAAAGAGAGAAGACTAAGAGCTAGAGACTTCACATTTAAAATATTCGTATATTTAGCCCGTTTCTTGAGTTTATCTACAAAAATCGATTACTCGTCCCGTTATTTCGTTATCGATCAAAAACATGATTGCAACTCAGTAATAAAATTATATCTGCTACACTTTTGGAGCTAGGGTTGCCAAATTAAATGTAGAATTATATACATGTATATAATAACAATCTAAAAGTTTCATTAAGAGAATCCATCGACAAGAAAAGTAATTAAACAATTAAATTAAATAAAGTGTGTGCGCGTTTCTTGTGTAAGCTGAAAGAGGCCAAGAATTTTTTATATATCAGTTCCTCGAAAAGTCAAGGGGATCTCGTAGTCGAGCAGTCTCGACTACAGCTTTCTTATTTGTTTCTTTTTAAATATCATTGCCAATATTAGCCATTATGAGGTTTTAAAGCTTATAGTTAAAAATAAGCCCAAAATAAAAGTTGTCTTATAAAAACTATAATAAATAAGAGTAAAAAACTCGTTGAATACCTTCTCCATTAACTGTAAATAACTGTTTAAATTTGTAGTAAATAATCGAATCCCTCCTATGCTAGTATTGGTTGCGAAAAGAATTGGAACTCTGGCATTTGTCAGTTTCTCTTTATGTTTATAAGTTTTGTTTTACATCCAGTAATAATTACATGTTGTAATATTAAAATTTAAGCTCTCCTCTATTTACAAAACTTTCTTTCAAACATATTTCCTAAAATGGGCCCATCTTAGATGTGATTGTAATGTCAGTGGCAGATTGCAATGTTCACATCATTCGATTTCGTTTAATCGTATGTTCCCACAGAGCTGGATATCGAAAAACTAAGAATTCCTTTCTTATTCTGTGCTTACTTCGAACTCTGGGTGATCCATGATTCCACGATTCCATGATTCCACATGAACTTAAATACAGAAATTTGTGCAGCTGCAAGTATACAAATGCATTTTAGCATTTATGTTTAAGAAACCGTGAAAACCGGACTTTAAATGATATATTATTTACATTTTTATTTTTTTTTATTTGCATAAATAATTTTAATTGCAATAAATATATTAAGTATTGGGTTGATTTTCAAAATAAATACTTACAACCAGATCTGCTTCCAGGACTGCTCTTTACTTTGGCAATTAACAGCCATATTTTTGTCTTATTAGCCTCACTTTAGTTTATATTATAGAACCATATTTCTCTCGTGTTTCTGTACTTTTTACATACATATATTTATTACATACTGACATTTCGATTGTTTTCGTTTGTTTTTAGAGCCTACTATTCAACAAACTCCTAAATGACAATTAAATAACTGTGATCCTTGTCTGATGTACCAGACCGGGAGATATCCCGAACTCTGCGCAGGGTCAAATGGTGTAAAAATTACTTGGCGCTATAAAATACCAGTTTAGATGTATATCATCATGCTTGCTGCAAAGTTGATTAAAAATATTGATTTGAAATTTTTAGAGGAATAAAAAATTATACCAGAACTAAAATTTGAGTGACTAAACTCTAACTCCTTCCATTGACGAAATAATCATATTATTATTATTTATTGATCTATTGATTTACAAATAGCAATAGGAATTCCTAGCTCCCTGAGATATTATATCTGCAATATTAGCAAATATAATTTGACTGTGGCATTAATTAATAATAATTTATATAATGTATGTCTAAGATGTAGTATGTACGAATAGTATAAAGTTTATTAATTATATATATACATTTTACGCTGAGACCATTGTAAATGGGAAATTACGGGATAAAACCATTATTAGTGTTAAATGTATATAACAGGCAGAAGGAGTGGTGGCAGACACCATGAAATATACATATACATATGTATATATTCCTCTCAAAATTATAATCGATTTACGTGGGAATACCAAAATATATTTTTAATATTATTACCTCGGTATGAAAGATTTGTGAATACAGGCCATCTACAAGAAAAATTATTAAGCAATTCAGTTCCAGTTGGGGAGACTTAACAAACTCGTTTGTTTGCAAAAGTTTTCGTTTTCTTTTGGCCTTAGATATAGGTAATTAACAAAATACTTTCTGTATTTCTTATCTTGCACCTGTTGTTCATTTAGCTTACAATCTAGAAGAAGAGTTGTTTGACATTTTATTCCATCTTGAACATTTTTTAACAATTGTATTTTAGGTCACTCTTATTTAATTGAAGCTACATTCCATATTGCAAAATTATTTTATTACTGGGGAATTTTTTTTTTTTTTATACCCTGAACCTATTTTCAATGGGAAATCGGGGTATAATGGTTTTGTTGAAATGTATGTAACAAGGAGAAGGAGGCGTGGCAGACCCCACAAAGTATATATATTCTTGATAAGGGTGACGAGCTGAGTTGATTTGGCCCTGTACGTCTGTCTGTCCGTCCGTCTGTCCGTATGTATGAACGCGTCGATTTCAGAAGATATAAGAGCTAGAGACTTCAAATTTTTTTAAAAATGTCCGTTATTACAGCGCGCATATCAAGTTTATCATTAAAAATCGATAACTCATCCCGATCTTTTTTTATCGATAAAAAACCTTATCGAAAACCAGTTATAAAATTATATCTTCTACACCTTTATTGCTAGAGTCTCCAAATTTTTAATGTATGCTTATATGCAATTTATACAATTTCGGTTTTTGTTAAAATTTACCCCCCACCCTTAAATTCACCCCCTCACCCTCACTTTTGTAAAAAGCGTATTTCAAATACTAGAGACTTGTGCTTTGGCAATTACATGCATATCCATGTTATAATCATAATCTGAAAGTTTCATGAAGATCGTACGTCCATAAAAAAAGTTATTAAACAATTAAGTTCTCATAGTAAGCGCACACTGCAGCCCATGCGTGTTTATGCGTGGGTGCTTGTGTGTGTATGTGTTTGTGTATGTGTGTGT